CCCCCATTGAACCATAATAATTTCTCTCTAGAATTATTCTTCGGTCTTTCAACAAAAAAGATTAAATTGCAAGAAAAGCTAATATCGGAAACCAGAATCTAAAATTAAAAAGAGAAACTGCCATAAAACACAAAAAAATTCTATTCCGTCCCATCCTATAAACAAAGGTCAAATGCAAAACTATTTTGCACATTTGCACAAATTTGAATAACACGCTAATTGTATGCACCCGAATAACTACATACAACAAAGGTTAGGAATGTTTTTGGTTAATCTGAATAAAGCTAATTGCATTGATAAAAAATTACTTTTTATCTTTTTAAATCAATTTGTGCAAATTGCACAAATGTGATTAGATATCATAAATCTGAACAGATTGCATAAATCTGAACAGATTGCATAAATCTGAACAGATTGCATAAATCTGAACAGATTGCATAAATATGAACAGATTGCATAAATATGAACAGATTACATAAATCTGAACAGATTGCTTAAATCTGAACAGATTACATAAATCTGAACAGATTGCATAAATCTGAACAGATTACATAAATCTGAACAAATTACGTAAATCTGAACAGATTGCATAAATCTGATCAGATTGCATAAATCTGAACAGAGCTGAAAACTTTAGAATGGTGGATATAGAGATTAATGCTTGATCCTCTCTTTTTCCTATTATCGAGACTAACCTAATCTTGTGCTTATATCCTGAAAAGTGTATAAAATTCAACCAATCAGTGCAGAGTCGCAAATATGAAGCCGATAAATTTTAAATTTTGTGCGCCATTTAAGATTATATACAGAAACGGGAGGGTTTAAGAAGAAAATCAAAAGTGTGTCCATTGGATACTCAGATTAAGTAATCGAGATTAAGGATATCTCATTCTAGGAGCTGAAAACTTTGGATACCCTTAATTCTGATCGCTTCATCTGAACATCTATGGTAGAAACTTTTAATTTCCTTTTTAATCCGCTCTCCGTGCATAAATCTGAACAGATTGCATAAATCTGAACAGATTGCATAAATCTGAACAGATTGCATAAATCTGAACAGATTGCATAAATCTGAACAGATTGCATAAACCTGAATAGATTGAATAAATCTGTACCGATTGCATAAATCTGAACAGATTGCATAAATCTGTACAGATTGCATAAATCTGAACAGATTGCATAAATCTGAACAGATTGCATAAATCTGAACAGATTGCATAAATCTGAATAGATTGCATAAATCTGTACCGATTGCATAAATCTGAACAGATTGCATAAATCTGAACAGATTGCATAAATCTGAACAGATTGCATAAAT